CGCGGGCGGCCAGAGCGTAGTGCAAGGCCACCGGATCGGCGAAGAGGGAGGCGTCCTCTGCCGCCAACCTGGACCGGAGCGAACGATTGTTTGGGTGAATGGAGCGAACGACATGTCTTCATGAAGAAGGATGAACATCTTGTGCCAGGAGATGCACATACCTAAGGGTCCAGACTTCCTTCAGATTCTAACGCTGTGAGCTCGTGAAGCAGCTCTCGGTCTTTTGTTGGACTTGATCGGTCGCCCGGACACCGTTCAGCCTAACACAAGCTGGACACATCATATATCTCTGAAAGTCAGAGCCGGGGCCCTGGAGCACAACTCTTCAGTCCCAGCAGTTGTTGCTGAGCTTCGCACCATGTCCGGACTCAACTTCATGTTTGTGCCAGGAATTGGGTGAACAAGTTGACTGTGAGGTGTCACCAGCACCCCTTGTCCATTGGTATTCGAACAAGCGAAGGAGCATTCTGGAGGCTATCCCGCTGCTGCGCTAGAAGGCATCTCAGAAGACTGAGGGAGAAACAGAATCCACAAGAACACGAATGACTCATGCGAAAGCTAGATATTCAATGGGCCCATTAGTGGGAAAAGCAGATGAAAATGCAGGCGATATAGACACGATCAAAAGAAAAAGATCCGGCGCTCTGACCCCCATCATGCGTGGCATAACCTGTTACCTTGTATGATACACTCTGACCCACTACAGTAACATGGAAGTCGAAAGCCCTGCGTTCACAAAGGAAAGCAGTCTTCCAAGGGACCATTTTGGCACGTCCATGTGAGTGAGTCAGAGTGCTTCTTGGTTCCACGGCCCTGGCCCTTGTGTTCTCCGCTCAATCCGGGCGCCGGTTCCAGTCGATCTTCATCACCTGCTCGTCCGCGAGCGCATCCTGGGTCTCTGGGGCCGACGTGACCCCTAAGAAGAATGGGTGCAGGATGGCACGGGTGATTTGGGGAATCCGTCCCCACAAATCGAACCGGCCGTGGTCATTGAAATGACCGCATCCGTGCCGAAACCGCGGCCAGCACGCGGCCGAGCGGCCAGCACCGCCTCGGTGCGTAGCAGGCCCCCGCGGACCACGTCGGCCGCGAGCAGGCTCCCCGCAGCACGAAAGGTGGGGTGCTGGCGACGCCCCAAAGACTCGATGTAGTCCTCCTCGCGAGGCGATGGCATCTGGAGAGGCTAGGAAGTCGTGCAGCGACCCGTGGCAGATTCAAGCAATCCTCCCATTTACAGGTGCCCTTTTGTGAAAGTTCCTCGTGCCAAAGAGCGCAGTACAATGCAGTACAGCATATTAAATGTGGATGTAGAGCATCAGGACTCAGGACCATACAAGCACAGGAGCACCCTTTTCCTTTTGAGGATTCCCTGCACCAACAGACAGTTCAGCCGTCAACTTCTCCTCCACCAGCGCCGGTCGGGTCCAAAGCCGCCCGGCGGCCGCCACCTCGCCCGGCAGGGGCGCCAGGGGCGCGTCCAAGCGAACGGCGGGGTCCAGGAGCACCAAGAACTCCTGCTTCGCAGCGATACCGTGGGTATCTCCGGGCTGTGCATACGAAACGTGTGTCTCGGCCCCCGGTGATGCGGGGGCAGGCCACGCGAAAACGCGAAAACCGCGAAAACGCGAAAACGGCGAAAACGGGAAAACGGCGGAAACAAAGTGCCTGGATTTGACACAGCTCATGGTTTTCTCGAACACCGCATCGGCGCGAAAACGGCGAAAACGCGAAAACGGCGAAAACGGCGAAAACGGGAAAACGGGAAAACGGCGAGAACGACGAAAACCGTTTTCTAGGTTTTCTCGTTTTGCCGGTTTTCTTGGTTGCGGTTTTCACGCTCAAAGGCAAGAGAAGCAAGAAGACGGCAAAACTTAGGGATCACCTTCCTCAATCCTTCCTCCCATGACGCTGCCCCGATCTTCTTTTGCGCGAACTCCAACGAGCTCTCTATTGGAGTGGATGCACCGTGCGCCTTTGGGGGAGCCTACACCCCAATCAGGACTGCTCAAAACGGTTCGCAGGACACTAGACTCTAGACGCATCAGTCCTCACTGCAAGACGATGGCCACATGACCACCCTCCACAAAGCGATTGGCCAGCGGTTCGGAGCGACTGGCGTCCACCACCACGACAAAGATGGGGTTGCCTTGAAGGTCCCAAATAGATGGAACACTGAGGCATTCTCCAGATCGCTGGCTCTTCTCCCCAACAAGACAAGATCTCTTTTTCCCACCAAAAAAATTTGGGTCTTTGTCGACGTATCGGTGGAAGTGGAAGGCCCATGAAGGCCCTGAATCGGCCCTTTTCGGCTAAACACTCATGTAAACTATGTATGTAGATACATGTATATATA